AGAATGAGGAGCAGGAGAAGGATAAGAAGAAGAAGGAAGAAGAAGAAGAAAAAGAAATAGAAGAGGAAGAAGAAACAAAAAGGAGGAGAAGAAGGAGAAGAAAAAGAAGAAGAAAAAGAAGAAAAAGAAGATGAAGAAGAAAAGAGAGCAAGAGACAGAGAGAGCCTAGAAAAAAAATGAGTTGTCAATTTCCCCTTTTTAATTTTGTTTACCTAGACGATTTGGCAATTTAGAATCAATGTTTACTTTAGGGACTATTTGCCTTAGGAAGTTCGTTATCTGTGTGTTCCCTTGAGAGTTACTCTTCCATGTAAATGTATCCTTAACCTGTACCCTAATGAGAGCTTTGGAGGGAGATGTTTATAGTAGTGCTTTTTAACGAGACGGGTGTGCCATTGAGTGATAGGGAAGGGAGAGAGAGAGAGTGAGAGGAAGGGAGGAAGGGAAGGGAGGGAGAGTGGGAGGAAGGGAGGAAGATAGGTAGGGAGAGAGAGAGAGTGGGAGGAAGGGGGAAGGGAAGGGAGGGAGGAAAGGAAGGGAGAGAGTGGGAAGAAGGGAGGAAGATAGGTAGGGAGGGAGGAAGATAGGTAGGGAGGGAGAATGGGAAAGGAGAGGGAGAGAGATAGGTAGGGAGGGAGGAAGATAGGAGGGGAAAGGAAAGGGAGAGTGGGAGGAAGGGAGGAAGGGAAAGGAAAGGAGAGGAAGAGCGGGAGGAAGGGAGCTAGTAAGGGAGATGTTTATAGTAGTGCTTTTTAACGAGACGGGTGTGCCACTGAGTGATAGGGAAGGGAGAGAGAGAGAGTGGGAGGAAGGGAGGAAGGGAAGGGAGAGAGAGAGAGTGGGAGGAAGGGAGGAAGATAAGTAGGGAGGGAGAGAGATAGGTAGGGAGGGAAGAAGAAAGGAAGGGAAAGGAAAGGGAGAGTGAGAGGAAGGGAGAAAGGGAAGGGAGAGGGAGATAGGTAGGGAGGGAGAGGGAGATAGGTAGGGAGGGAGAGATATAGGTAGGGAAAGGAGAGAGAGAGTGGGAGGAAGGGAGGAAGATAGGTAGGGAGGGAGAGAGATAGGTAGGGAGGGAGAGAGATAGGTTGGGAGGGAGGAAAATAGGAAGGGAAAGGAGAGGGAGAGTGAGAGGAAGGGAGAAAGGGGAAAGGAAAGGGAGAGTGGGAGGAAGGGAGGAAGGGAAGGGAGAAGGAGAGTAGAAGGAAGGAAGGAAGAAGGAGAGATAGGAAAGGAAAGGCAGACGAAGTGTGGGAAGAAGGGAAGAAAGTAGGCCGACACGCACCATCTTGTAGGTATCGTTGCGTCCGAGGTCCGAATAGTCGAGCCGGAGCACCGAGGTTCCTGTGGCGTTGTCTCGAACCTCCTCGATGACCCATTCGTGCGGGGTCGAAGCAGTCAGGGTGAAGCACAGCGCGTAGACCACGCCGATGACGATCATGGCCCGGCTCTCGGTGCAGTAGACCTTGGGGGAGGGGGGGGGGGAGATAAGAATGCGTGAGAAAAGGTTTAGTGTTTCATTCAAATATGATCATGATTTTTTTGTATGTGTATGTGTGTGTATATATATATATATATATATATATATATATATATATATATATATATATATATATATTGCTTACACACACACATACATACTGCTCAAAACAATTAAGGGAACACTTGTATTTCATTTCAGAACTCAATTTTGTACTGAAACTAAATTCCCAATGTACCCTGAACAACAGAGCGTCAAACTGGCCAAGAAGAACAAAAGTTAACCCTTGGAGGACCGAATTACGAAATGATGTTGAAAACCAAAGTGACTGTAGAGAGAAATGACAATGGAAGAAATGATGAATTTGCAGCACAGCACATTGCACAGCCCCTTTAGTAGTGCGTATGCCCTCCACGAGCCTATATGCACTCACGACAACGTCGCGGCATGCCTCTGATGAGGCGGCGGATGGTGTCCTGGGGGATCTCCTGCCAGACCTGGATCAGCACATTGGTAAGCTCCTGGACAGTCTCTGGTGCGGCTGGACGCTGCTGAATACGCCGATACATAATGTCTCAGAGATGCTCAGGGGGTTCAGATCCGGAGAACGTGAGGGCCAGTCCACAGCATTGATGCCCTCCACCTCCAGAAACTGGCGGCACGCTCTAGCCACATGAGGTCGAACAATAGGTCTGATTATTTCATCTCTATGCCTAACAGCTGTCAGGGTTCATTGATAAAGCACATGATGGTCTGTGCGACTCTCCAGAGATATGCCTCCCCAGACCATAACCGACCCACCACCGAATAAGTCATGCTGAACGATGTTGCATGCCGCATATCGCATACCGCATACCGACCCAACCAACGGGCGCCTGGCCCTCATGCCATCCTCGTGGAGTCTGTTTCTGACAGTCTGGTCAGAAATGCGTACTCCAGTGGCACGCTGAAAATCTCCTTGTCGGGACCTAGCAATGCTTCTCCTGGAGAAATCTGTCCTGTTGTTGTGTGGTGGCCCTTATTCGGCCTCGTCCAGGCTTCCTGGAGTACTGGTCGGTCTCTCGAAAGCGACTCCACGCACGGGAGATGACACTGGGAGACACTCTGAGCCTTCTGGCCACCTGACATGCAGGTGACCCATCCTCCAGCAGCTGGACTGCCCGTGCGACTTCACAAGGCTGGAGGTAACGCATTATGCTTGCAACAGAGTAAAAAAGATCTGAAAATCCTCAACCAAGAAAGAAATAACGATTCGGCTAGTCAGGAGCACATAATCGTCGTGGCTACCTCTAGCTAACTCACTCACAGGTCGCTAAGGTTGCGACTAGCTGGGTGGAAAACTCCAATGCGCTAATATATGTCTGTGATATCCCAAAAATAAAGTGTTCCCCTAATTGTTTTGAGTAGTGTATATATACATATATACATATACTGTATATATATGTATATATGTACATATATATACACATATATATATACACTATATATACATATATATATATATGTGTGTGTGTGTGTGTATGTGTATATATATATATATATATATATATATATATATATATATATATATATATACATATATATATATATATATATATATGTGTGTGTGTGTGTGTGTGTGTGTATATATATATATATATATATATATATATATATATATATATATATATATATATATATATATACTGTGTGTGTGTATATATATATATATATATATATATATATATATATATATATACATATACATATATATATATATATATATATATATATATATATATATATATATATATATATATATACACATAAATACACAAACACACATATATATGTTTGTGTGTGTGTGTGTGTGTGTATGCGTATGTATATGTATATAAATATCTATTCATTTCACTTATAAGCTATATTTATTACGTCTTCTTCTTTCGGCTGTTCCCATTAAGGAGCATCTTTTTCTATTACTCTAACCACCAGTATGTCTTCCCTTCATCATTTCCTTCAACCTACTCTTTAGTCTATATTCTCCTCTTCTCTTCTCCTCCATTCTCATCCCTCCTCACCAATTACGCCTCCTCTCACTTTGTGTTAAATACGTTCTTCTTGCGCTGTCCCTCTTTTGTACTCCTTTTTCTGTACAGTATTTTCAATTTCTTTGATGCTTATTACGAAAATCACTTGGGGGGGGGGGAGTAATACGTTTGTAACACACAGGTACACAATCACACACACGCAAAGACACGCACGCATGCACTAACACTCATAAACACACATACATTCACAAACACACACACAAACGTAAATACACACATGCACACACACAAACACACACACAAACACGCAAACAAACAAACACACACACATACACACACACACACAAAAACACACACACACACACACACACACACACACACACACACCCCACTCGCAAACACAAACACACACACAAACATACACACGCACGCCCACACTCCCCGCTTCTACGACTTAATATGATGAAATGTTTGGCTACAATAAAATATGCTGGTTTAACGTTCATCAGAGACAGCATAACAAAAAAAACGAAAAAAAACTCTTTTGAGCTTAAACATTTTTATGATTCTCACACCACTTATCACCAGATGGAGTGTAAGTAGAAAGAATATGAATTAAATAGCGTTTGAGAAGATGGACTGACGTCAGGACATTGTAGTTTATTAATATCCTGATATATTATAAAAGTTCATTTCACTCTAAGGTCTATTTTCATGGGTCATTATGGTTGAGAAAATTATTATTTAATCCACCATCTATTTTATCAAAAGTAAAAATATATATATATATTTTTTCTCTCTTTCAATAAAATAGTTGTGGTTTACAAAATACTGTCCAACTGGGAATCAAGCTGAAAAAATACTTAATTAGAACGAATTCATTAAAAAACGTTTTCACACAGAAGGAACGAATATAAATAATAAGAGGGAGAGAGAGAGAGAGAGAGAGAGAGAGAGAGAGAGAGAGAGAGAGAGAGAGAGAGAGAGAGAGAGAGAGAGAGAGAGGGACAGACAGAAGCAGACAGAGCAAGAGAGAGAGAGAGAGAGAGAGAGAGAGAGAGAGAGAGAGAGAGAGAGAGAGAGAGAGAGAGAGAGAGAGAGAGAGAGGGAGAGAGAGTGAGTGAGTGAGAGAGAGAGAGAGGGAGAGAGAGAGAGAGAGTAAGAGAACAAAGAGAAAGAGAGAAAAAGGAAGAGATTGAGAGAGAGACAGTGAGAAAGAAAGAGATAGAAAGGGAGAGAAAGAAATTGAGCCTCAATTTTTTTCTCGAGTGCCCTCACGTATCACACAAAAGGGGGAAAATGGTACAAGTCATTTTCCTGTTGCTGGAAATATATCTTAGAATTTAGATCTTTTCAGAAAATTTATTAATTTATCTATTCATTTATCCATTCATTCATCTATTTATTTATTTGATTTACTTGCGACGTGTACCTTTAGTGAAATATAACATATTTTTTTTCTGACAATATTTTGATACGTAATGAAGTCATTAAAAAGAGATGCATATCATTAGCGTAAGTCGTTATGGTAATGGGCTATTAGGATTTTGCATTTTGTAACTTCTTATTTCTTTTTGAAAGTAGGAAGTCTGTGGTATGAATACACAAGCCTTTTCTTGGGAATGGCATGTTCGATATCAAACTGATTTGCTTTTTCTCTATATGTATGGTTGTTGTTCGTTTTTGCATTACGTTTTTATGTTCTTTTTTTCGCTTTCTCTCTCTCCCTCTCTCTCTCTCACTCTCTCTCCTTCTCTCTCTGTCTCTCTCTCTCTCTCTCTCTCTCTCTCTCTCTCTCTCTCTCTCTCTCTCTCTCTCTCTCTCTCTCTCTCTATCTCTCTCTCTCTCTCTCTCTCTCTCTCTCTCTCTTTTATCTCTCTCCCTCTCTCTCTTTCTCTCTCTCTCTCTTTCTCTCTCTGTCTCTGTCTCTGTCTCTCTCTCTCTCTCTCTCTCTCTTCTCTCTCTCTCTCTCTCTCTCTCTCTCTCTCTCTCTCTCTCTCTCTCTTCTCTCTCTCTCTCTCTCTCTCTCTCTCTCTCTCTCTCTCTCTCTTTCTCTCTCTCTCTCTCTCTCTCTCTCTCTCTCTCTCTCTCTCTTTCACACACACATACAACAATAAAACTAACATAAAACAAATGAAAGATAAAATGGTGCAAAACACAAAAGGCATAAAAAAAGAGAACATACGTATCCCCTTGCACTCTTTCTTGCCAACCCTTCCGAATCGCTAAAACGGGGGGGGGGGGGGGGGGGGGAGATAACATACATAAACCTCACCTGTGATTTATGATAATTAATCGTTCATTTTGTTGCCCAGTCAGAAGTTGGTCCGGGATTTATGGTGACAATATTTATACTATCATTTGTTAGGTTTTAATCTATTTAGCAGAATTTATTACGCGTTCGTTTCCAATTAATGTTGGCGAAATCGTCTCATATTAATTTTTAGCATTTAGTGAATAGTCAGCGTTTATATTTTTAGAATTCTGAATTTCCTTACTAAGGAGTGAGTAACTGGGGTTCCGTGGAACAATTAAAGAGAGGGTGATAAAGAAAGGGAGGGAAAAAAGGAAAAGAAACGAAAAGCATATTAAAAATTGAATGAAAAATCAACATACCTCAATCTCCTTTGAAAATGTCATTCATTTCATTCAAAATCCAATGCACATAAGACCTTTGAATTTGTCAAGTAATATGGAGAGGGAGAGAGAGAGAGAGAGAGAGAGAGAGAGAGAGAGAGAGAGAGACATAAAGAGGGAAAGAGAGAGAGAGAGAGATAGAGATAGAGAGATAGATAGAGAGAGAGAGAGAGAGTGAGAGAGAGAGAGAGAGAGGGAGAGATAGATATAGATAAAGAGGGAAAGAGAGAGAGATAGAGATAGAGAGAGAGAGAGAGAGAGAGAGAGAGAGAGAGATAAAGAGAGAAAGAGAGAGAGAGAGATAAAGATAAAGAGAGAGAGAGAGAGAAAAAGAGAGAGAGATAAAGAGAGAGAGAGAGAGAGAGAGAGAGAGATAAAGAGAGAGAGAGAGAGATAAAGAGAGAGAGAGAGAGAGAGAGAGAGAGAGAGAGAGATAAAGAGAGAGAGAGAGAGAGAGAGAGAGAGAGAGAGAGAGAGAGAGAGAGAGAGAGAGAGAGATAAAGAGAGAGAGAGAGAGGGAGAGAGACGCAATGCACAGCTTATTCGATAGCTACAAAAGCCTTGGGAGTGGTTTTCCTTGGGTTCACGAGATGCATTCATTGGAAATATATTTTTCAATTCCTACGCACATACACCCGTGTACACATACAGACAAGAGTACACACGCGTGTATATACCTCCTCTCCCCACATACATACAGTTTCAGCAATATGAACACACGCACACACAAACACACATACACACAAACAAATAAACAAAAACAAACACACACACATACACACAAACAAATAAACAAATACAAACACACGCACATACAAACAGAAACACACACACATGCACACAAACAAGCACACAAACACTCATGCAATAACAAACAACCCCTCCTCCCCCCTTCTCAATGTTATCTCGAGAGCCTTCACAAACATTAACATCATAAGAATTAGCAAAATAACCACGATAATTTTGATGAATAGAATACTAACGATGAGTTGATTGATGATGACACCAATGATGATAATTGACTGTGATAATAACAATAATTAAAACTTATTAGATTACTAATAACATACATGTGCTTATACCTCCCAGTCAATGAGTAAATAAAAAGAAAATCCAAAGTGACGTTTATTATACGTAAGATATGAATAATTAATTTAATAATGACTCCCAAAGGCCATTAATGAAACAAATTGTATATCATAAACCTATTTACAAAAGGGATATACAAATAAAGAGAGATAAGATGCAATATTATATATCAAACTGATTGCTGAATTAATACGATGAAACATCAGATAGAAGCAATTAAATTACATTATTTGATTTATGAAAAGAAAACATCACCGCCAGAGAAGTTATTACTTACAGAATGAAATGATTTTAACTAAAATAGTAATAATAATGGCAATAATGATGATGATGATAATAATGATAATAATAATAATAATAATAATAACAATAATAATAATAATAATAATAATAATAATAATAGTAATAATAATAATGATAATAATAATAATTGGTAATAATGATAATAAAAACAATGATACCAATGGCGTAATAATAACAGTAATAATAATAATATTATTAATAATAACAATAATAATAATGATGATAACAATTATAGCAAGAATAATAGTGATGATAATGATAATGATGATAAAGACAATAATGAGGATGATAATGTTAAAGAATAAGAAGAACCATAATAACAACGGAAACAACAACGAAACAACAATAATTAGTATACATATACATACACACACCTCTTTGTATTTATACACACTCACACACACACACACACACACACATACACACACACACGCACACACGCACACACACAGACACACAGACACACAGACACACAGACACACACACACACACACACACACACACACACACACACACACACACACACACACACACATATATATATATATATATATATATATATATATATATATGTATATATATATGTATATATATGTATATATATATATCTTATCTAATCATATTATTAATTCATTAGTTGCGAAATTATCTGGGTTTACATTTTTTTTCTTTTCATAAATATATAGTGTAGAATATATATAATATATAGTGTAGAACGCATTTCATGTAATATTGAGTTTATTCAGAAATCCTAGGAACTGATAAGATTCTTAAACTTGACAAAATAAGTTGGCAACCTTGATATTATACATATATTTAAGAATTTATTTGCATGATTAAACTTATGAATATCGTGAAACTTCTTTACAATTTCAGAAAATGCTTTTTCGTTAATGTTAGATTATGAGGTTGATTGTCATATATCTTCCTTAAATTTCAAATTAAGATTTCATTTACTTCTCTTTTCATACACACACACACACACACACACACACACACACACACACACACACACACACACACACACACACATACGCACGCACGCACCCCCTCACCACCACCACCACACACACACATACACATATATGTGTGTGTGCGTATGCGTCGTTAGCTATTGATTCCATCAGTGATTAGATATTCGAGGAAATCGAATCTCCGAAATGCAGGCAACGATCCACAAAAGATTCACCGAAGCAGAAATTCGAAATTGTCTACGACTCGAACCGAGAACTTTCACAATATCTTCTCTTCTTTTTTCTTCTTCCTCTTCATCACCATCATCATGACTATTTTCTATTTCTATTTTTTTATTTTTTTATCTTTTCTTGTTTTTTTGTTCTTTTACTTTTCTCATTCTCTTTCTTTCTTCTCCTCCTCCTACTCCTCCTCCTCCTCTTTCTCCTTTACTTCCACCTCCTCCCTTCCCCTCCGTTCCTCCTCCTCCGTTTCCTCCCCTTCCTCCACCTTCCTCTTCCTTATTTTTCTCTCCTTCATCCCCCTCTTTCAATCTATCCTTCTTCCCTTCCATCTTTCTATTACTGAATGGGAGTTTCGGAGCTTCGAAATAATGGAAAAAAAGGCTCAAAGGGACAAAGGCATGTGAAGGTACCCAATGAAATGAAAATTAAATGCGTCTTTAAATCCGGGTCCTGCTGTGTGGAAACAATTCTTGGGGGTCGGTGGAATGGCTAAGAATTTGTGTTTGCTTGCGTCTTTGTTCGTTTGTTTGTTTGAGTTTGTTTGCGTCTTTGTTCGTTTGTTTGTGCGTGCTTCTTCGTGTTTGTTTGTATGTGTGTGTTCGTGTTTGTCTGGGTCTTTGTTTCATTGGTTTTGTTTGTGTTTGTTTTCGTGCGTGTGTCCGTGCCTGTTTGTCTCGTTTGTTTGTATGCGATTTTGAGTGTATGCGCTTGTTTAGTTTGTTTTTTTTTGTATGTGGTTTGTGTGTGTTAATTTATTTGTGTATGTGATTGTTTAGTTTGTTTGTGTATGTGGTTTGTGTTTGTTAATTTCTTTGTGTATGGGGTTTGTGTTTGTTAATTTCTTTGTATGCGTGTATGTGTATTTATTGTGTGTATGTGTGTAATTTGTGCACCTGTTTCGTTTCTTTGTGTATGAATTATATGCACGTCTTTGTTTAGTGTTTTTGTTTGTTTATTTTGTTTGTTTGTGGGTGGAATTTGTACGCACTCCCTTGTTTTGTTTGTTAGTAGGTGTATCTGTACCTGTTTCGTTTGCGTTTCTGTGTTGTTTTCTGCGCGTGTTTTTATGTGTATTTGAGAGCCGATATTATCCGTAATATTTTCTGAATACACTGTAGACTTCTGCTCTTCTAGTTGTATTACGATAAGTGCGAGTCTCATCACTGAATACAGTAGCATTGTCATTTGAGTGTCAAATATGCGTATAAAGCCAGTGATGCATTTTTCATGACACTCACAATTATATAAGCTTTATTCTGGTTTTT